TAAGTTATCAGCATAGAGAGAGTCCAGTGTAGAATTTTTTATATCACCTGTAATTTTTTGCCCATCATTTGTGAAGAAGATGATATTTTTTCTGTCAATCTTTAAATCTGGTGAACAGTGTAGTGTTTCACTCTAAAACCAAATAGAGAGTTTAGAATGATTTTGTGAGTTTGTATTTTAGGACTGATTCTTTTGAGTATTATTTTTTCGAACAGTTTAGCCAGTTTGAAGTAAATTTATTGGTTTGTAGGAGGTAGCTAGAGTTTTTGTTTATTTGGTTTTATTGGTTTTGGTATAAGTATTGTTGACAATTTCTATATTAATAGGAAGTATGAAAGTCTTAGCATAGCATTGAAGACATAAGTAATTGGTAAAATGGGTTTGTGAGGAAGATTTTTGAGGATTTTGCTGGAGATTTGTTGGACCATAATTTTGGAGATTTTCCATCTTTTAATTTTCTAATTAAAAATAATATTTCATTTGGTGAGGTGTGTTTGGCAGGTAATAACAGGTGGTTGGTCAGGGGTAGTGGCAGTTGATAAATTGTTTGACACTTTCTAAGTGTTCAGTGTTTGGTATTATGTCAACGTGTAGCATGAATATTTTTGTTAAGTGTTTCCCAAATATATTAGCTTTTTCAATATCAGAGATGGTCTAGGAGGCCATTTGGGTCTGTTAAGGGAGAGAGTTGTTCTTTTATTCTAAATAGCTTTTTAGTTGTTTTCCATAAAGCACCATCTGTTTGGTTTAAAGATTGGTTTTTGTTTCTCTTGACTTGCAAGACTTATAGCGACTCACTAAAATATAACTTAATGACATTTCGTTTGGGTATTTTCCAATAATCGCTAATTGAGTGGCCATAACCATATTTTATAAAATATAAAATAAATAACACCAACAACTATAATAAACTATATAGTTTATCATTATCTAAAATTCTAAATTGCTACGATTACAAACCCCATGTCATCGACATTAAATATTATTTTGATATAATAATAATTTTATAAAATTAGCTAATATCAAATAAACTAAACTAAACTAAATTATATTGAATGCAAATAATAATAAAACAATTTCTTTGTATACCACGGGTTGGGAACCTCTGCTTAGAGCAATTTTTGCTTTAATAGTATCATTTTTATTTAGGGCTTTTTTTAATCTATTATTAGCATAGTTTAATAACTAATCACAAGCTTTCTTTTGATTTACTTGATTTATTGCAGACTTAAGCTGCCCTTCTAGTTCTTGTATACTTTTTTTTGTCTTCTGGCCTCTGCCAGGTCTTTTTATCTTTGAATGTCTTCATTCTCTCTTTGTTGTGTAATACTATTTATTTCATATTCCAATTTCTTTTGTGTATCTAAATAATTAATTTAATGTTGTCTGGCCATCTGTGTTGTGACCATCAATTCTTTTAAAATGGACACTAAGTATGGATGATTTTGATAAAATTGTTTGCCTGACTTTATGTTTATGTTAGCATTTAACATTTAACAATACCTGTCTATCCTATCATCTGTAATTACATTACCTGATATTAAAAACTGACATTCAACATCAGCAATGCCATGTGATAATGTTAAGCTGTATTTACAGCCTTATAAATATTTGAATATTTAACATTACCAAAACTATCTTGAATTTGTAAAGTTCCGTTCCAGTAATGATGTATTCATTTAATTCATTGTTGAAGACTTTAGGTTGTAATTAAGATTCATGTCTATGCAATCTCTTTTCATATACTAAAACCCCTGGGTCAACTTCAAAAGGTAAATATGTAGATATTTTAACTACTTCTGAGTAATTTCTTTCAACTTGTAATTCAGTTGGCATTGAACAACAAAAATATTTTATTTTGGTAGCACAATGAAAAAGTTATATTTAATATATGTTTTCCTGCCAATATGTAATGAGCTTGAACCAGTTTTATAAATAATATTTTGCATCTCTCTGGTACTAATGACAAAATTGTTGATACTTGAACTGTAAGTTTAATTGAATCTAATGGTTTTAAATTTTGAAGGTTAAATACAGAAGTATTATTGTTCTAGATCTTCAATGCTTCCATCTTACAAACTTTTCCAGCAATTACTATGATGAAATTACGCAATTCAGAGTACAGTACATGAATCTTTTGATGCTGAAATGTTAAAGTAAATTTTTGTAATATTTTAGCACTATTGATTATATAAATTATTTTAGCTTTTACCATTGGTTCATTTAAAACTTTATGAATTCTTAAGTATTTTGGTGTCTTCATAAGTTCACTTCTATGTTGTGGTTTAAATAATGCTGCTGGTCCTAACATAAGTCAACATGTTGTTAATATATAATAAACTATGTTTGGGTAAATTTTCATGTATTTGGATGTCTAAAGTTTTCTAAACGTTTTGGCTAATTTATACATATAACCTAATCAAATATATTAGATGCAATGTGTTCAAGACCTTTAAAAAACTGTTGTGCATAGTATGAATATTGTTAGAGCCAATTTAAACTAGTCTTTTCCCACTAAGTGACTTAATAAAACTTAATTATTCTTGATACAATTTTTTTTTAAATTTGAACCATCTGTTCCTAAAATAAGCAACTTTTCTTTTAGTTGATCTGAGTTATCTAAGCCATCATTAGCTACTCAATTAAATTTCCCGGAGTAGCTAAAAATTAGAAAAAAAGTTTCGAAATGGTTCATAACTATTTCATGTTTATTTTTAATTCAACATACAACTCAACAATTCAACTAACAAACAGCATTTTGAAGATCTGTTTTCTTTTTTGAATTTGTAGTCTACAAAATTGTATAGTATGAACTGTAAATATAATCTATAATAATAGATTTGAAATATGGTACCAAAGCATTAAATATTAAGTATGACATCTCGGACTACCCAAGACAGAACTGGTCATGTAAAGAGTCTAGGAATATAGATTTAAATAGTAGAAAGTTCCAAATTTCAATTTACAATGTCCAAATAATTTCTGCTTTAATTGCTTGTTCATTTTTACAATACGTTTTGAATTCCAATGTATTTAAAAATGTTTTAATGTTATTCTCAGTGACAGTATTTTCAATAGTACTAATGTTGGTGTTTATTGATATAGTACTATACAAATGTTATTGTTTAGATCCTAATTTAATTTTACATTTAGGTTTGTGTTATTTTTGTATTTGAAAGCTGAATTAAAGACGAAATCTTTTTATTATACCAGTTGATTGTGCAAGACTAAACAATAAATAATATATTTCAGGTTTTTCACATAATCTTGCCCATTCAACAATTTGCATACACCATTTTCAATGATTTCCAACCATAATTTATTTACACAACACATATTCAATACATCCATAATAAAAACTAATTTCATCAAATCACGTTTCATTCAAATAGTATATAGGTCTGTTTAAAGTCTAATGTTTTATTGTTTCTAAGGTTAGGTTAAACACACAATACCGTCATCCGTGAATTTTGGCGGTTATAGCTGATGTAATGAATTTTGAACATCTGCTAATTGCGTAATGCCTGTTTTTCTACACGTAGGGCATAGCATTTGAAAGACTTCTGTCACATCTAACATATGTAGTAGATTTATATTGAAACATACCTAACAATATAATCTTTTTTAGGAATTGTAAAATTACCTAACATTGTTCATGATATTTTTTACTAACAATATTATTAAAGCTCATATCGCTTCTTTAATCGCACTTTTTTGCACAGTACATTATGGCCTCGTTCAAGTGCTGTGACTTTCGTCTGTATTGAAGTATGCGGTAGGGCGGCAATGCTTTTAATAGACGAGAGACGGTCAGGTTTAATCGATTGTTTAACTTTTCTCAAATTATAGATTTGCGAATGTCGATTGTTTCAAGTCTGTAATGTGTCATTGTTTCTAGATATTTTCGACGTAAACTTACAAAATGTCTTCCGTTAATTTGTCAGATGTCGATGACGTAATGTATTGTAATCATCTGCATATTGCTGAATGAACGTTTTACTATATTTTACAAGTAGGGCATATTATTTGAAAGACTTCTGTCACATCTAACTTGTGTAGTAGATTTATATTGAAACATACCTAACAATATAATCTTTTTTAGGAATTGTTAAATTACCTAACANTATGTAGTAGATTTATATTGAAACATACCTAAAAATATAATCTTATTTAGGAATTGTAAAATTACATTATGATGTTCATAATGTTATTTACTAACAATATTATTAATGCTCACATCGCTTCATTAATCGTATTTTTTTGCACAGTACATTAAGGCCTCGTTCTGTGCTGTGACTTTTGTCTGTATTGAAGTATTCGGTTTGGTGGCAATGCTTTTAATAGACGAGAAACGAACAGGTTTAATCGATTGTTTAACTTTTCTCAAAATATAGATTTGCGAATGTCGATTGTTTCAAGTCTGTAATGTGTCATTGTTTCTAGATATTTTTGACGTAAACATACAAATTGTTTTCCATTTATTTGTCAGATGTCGATGACGTAATGTATTTTAATCATCTGCTAATTGCTGAAGGCCCGTTTTACTACATTTTACAAGTAGGGCATATTATTTGAAAGACTTCTGTCACATCTATCTTGTGTAGTAGATTTATATTGAAACATACCTAAAAATATAATCTTATTTAGGAATTGTAAAATTACATTATGATGTTCATGATGTTATTTATTAACAATTTTATTAAAGCTCATATCGCTTCTTTAATCGCATTTTTTTGCACAGTACATTATGGAATATTTCAGGTGCTGTGACATTCGTCTGTATTAAAGTATGCGGTAGGGCGGCAATGCTTTTGATAGATGAGAGACTTCTAACTTTTCTCAAAATATAGATTTGCGAATGTCGATTGTTTCCAGTCTGTAATGTTTCATTGTTTCTAGAGAATTCTCTATCGACATACAGTACTTTTCTTTAAGAATTTGTTTGATGTCGATGACGTAATGTATTTTAATCATCTGCTTATTGCGGAATGCCCGTTTTACTATATTTTTACACGTAAGGCATATTATTTGAAAGACTTCTGTCACATCTATATTGTGTTGTAAACTTATACTGAAACAAACCTAACAATATAATCTTTTTTAGGAATTGTTAAATTACCCAACGTTTTTCGTGATGTTTTATACTAACAATATTATTAAAGCTCATATCGCTTCTTCAATTGCATTTNGGCGGCAATGCTTTTAATAGATGAGAGACGGTCAGGTTTAATCGATTGTTTAACTTTTCTCAAAATATAGATTTGCGAATGTCGATTGTTTCCAGTCTGTAATGTTTCATGGTTTCTAGAGAATTCTCTATCAACATACAGTACTTTTCTTTATGAATTTGTTTGATGTCGATGACGTAATGTATTGTGATCATCTGCTTATTGCGGAATGCCAATTTACTATATTTTTACACGTAGGGCATATTATTTGAACAACTTCTGTCACATCTAACTTGTGTAGTAGATTTATATTGAAGCATACCTAACAATATAATCTTTTTTAGGAATTGTAAAATTACATTATGATGTTCATGATGTTATTTATTAACAATTTTATTAAAGCTCATATCGCTTCTTTAATCGCATTTTTTTGCACAGTACATTATGGCCTAGTTCAAGTGCTGTGACTTTCGTCTGTATTAGAGTATGCGGTAGGGCGGCAATGCTTGTAATAGACGAGAAACGAACAGGGTTAATCGATTGTTTAACTTTTCTCAAATTATAGATTTGCGAATTTCAATTGTTTCCAGTCTGTAATGTTTCATGGTTTCTAGAGAATTCTCTATCAACATACAGTACTGCTTTCTATGAATTTGTCAGATATCGATGACGTAATGTATTATGATTATCTGCGAATTGCTGAATGCCCGTTTTACTATATTTTTACAAGTAGGGCATATTATTTGAAAGACTTCTGTCACATCTATCTTGTGTAGTAGATTTATATTGAAACATACCTAAAAATATAATCTTATTTAGGAATTGTAAAATTACATTATGATGTTCATAATGTTATTTACTAACAATATTATTAATGCTCACATCGCTTCATTAATCGTATTTTTTTGCACAGTACATTATGGCCTAGTTCAAGTGCTGTGACTTTCGTCTGTATTAGAGTATGCGGTAGGGCGGCAATGCTTGTAATAGACGAGAAACGAACAGGGTTAATCGATTGTTTAACTTTTCTCAAATTATAGATTTGCGAATGTCGATTGTTTCAAGTCTGTAATGTGTCATTGTTTCTAGATATTTTCGACGTAAACTTACAAGCTGTCTTCCGTTAATTTGTCAGATGTCGATGACGTAATGTATTTTAATCATCTGCTAATTGCTGAAGGCCCGTTTTACTACATTTTACAAGTAGGGCATATTATTTGAAAGACTTCTGTCACATCTATCTTGTGTAGTAGC